TTTTCCTTCAAAAATAAGGACATTTCAATGTGACCCCAAACTTTTGAACGGTGGTGTATATATATGATGAGGTCAGTCAATCTAGTATCAGGTGAGTGCACCATTACATCTGCAAAGAAACGTCCTAGTCCACAATAGCTAGGGGGCCAACCAGGTGTCAGTGATGGGCCCCCTAAGAGGTGGGGGGCCCCTAAGCAACTGCAACTGCTTACCGATAGTTATGCCAGTGAACCCAAGGGAAGGCCAGTGGCTGGAAGCTGGAGGGGATTTGGCTGACTTTTGACTGGGAAGGTTCATTTTGAATGGCTGCTACTTTATTTAAAGAAAAAAAAAACTTTATTAACAAATAAAACAAAACATTAAAAATGAGAGAGCTGCAATGCATGCACCTCAAGGCATGGCTGCAGAATGCACTAATGAATCAGCTTGTAGGTATCAGTTGATACGAAACAAGAAAAATGCTCATAGATTAAAACATCTGCTTATATATACAGTATATACTGTACATATAAAAGATGTTTTAGTGCCGTTTGCTTCACTTTACAAACTTCTGATCACAGATAAAAAGATTAAATCTTCACATTAAACTCAGATGTTCTAACTTAGAATGATGTTTATGCTTCAAGCTTATTGGTCAATGAAGAAAGGACTGGCCAATCAGGAGAGAGGAGATGCAGTTGTGTTTCTGCCAGCAGGAGTTTGGCTTTTGATTCAGCTCTTTAGCTACTGTTATGATGGAGGGTCTTTCTTTAGATTAATTTTAGGAAATAAAACAAGTCACCGATTTATATTAATTTATATTCTTTGAATTTTTTTGTTTTTTCAAATTTTGCATTATAATTGGATGGAAAGGCTCATATGTGAGGATCAGCTCAGCTCTTCTGACCCTGAAGCCAGAAAGCAAAGGGAAAATAAATCCAGGATCATCCAAACACAGCTACAAAGTAAGAACTGATCATGGATCAATCTATTTGCTTTACTTCTACAGGTAAGTTGCTTTTGTCATATGACCTCTGGCATGTTGTGGGTGAAGGACAGCAGCCTGTGAGGCCCACATGGGAGGAAATGCTGAAGCTGCAGAGAGAGGAAAGCTCCTGACTGCAGCGCTCTGCTGTCTCTGCTGATCTCTGGACATTCCTCCATTTACTGAGCTGAAGCTTCACATGATGATGATGATGATGATGATGATGTTGATGCTGCAGTGTTTCCTATTAAAGACCACACCCACATACAACACCCCCCCATCAACCCCACACTGAGAACTCCCTGAGAGCTGCTCACACAGGATGTTCCTGTCAAAATAAAAGTCCTAATGTGGGTCTCTCTTCAGGGCAGTAGGAAATATATATATTTTTTCATGATGGTCAAAGTTTATTTGGAATTTGTCAAATATCAAATGATTTTATGATGATAAATAAAAGTAAATATGATTGTTAAATAAATTTAGAATTTAAATTATTATTATTAGATTTACAATTATTCAGCACTGACTCATAAATATGGAAGATTATATTTAGAAATTAAATCATTTGAACAGAATATTATCATTATAGAAGCAAGAAGAAGCTTTACTTTCATAGATATTTTATCCTTATTCTAGATCAAGGGTCACCAGCATTTTCAAGTCTGATCTACTTTATAGATACTGTGTTATACAGTAGGAGGGGCAACCAATACTGATCTATGAACT